TTGGTTAATAGAATGGGATTAAATACATAAAGTATATTTGTGTTGTTTAACATTTAATTATTGCAGGTTTGCGTCATATTCTGAGTTGCATTATTTTTATTCATTTTGAGGAATACTGAATCTGTGTTTTTTTGTGTGTTTTTTTGTGAATGAGATGATATAATGCATATTCATATTTATTTTGAACTACAGTAACATCTTCAGATTTTGTCTCAACATGGGGACAGGACAGTTGTCAATCAATAAACTGGAAAAAAAGTAACTTGCGTTACTTTTTTGAAAAAGTAACTCAGATATTCTCTTGTAAATTAAAAAGTAATGCGTTATTTTACTAGTTACTTGAAAAAAAGTTATCCGATTACGTAACTCACGTTACTTGTAATGCGTTACCCCAACACTGTATGTATATATATATATATATATATATATATATATATATATATATATATATATATATAAATAAATACAGAGACAACAACAACTATGGCAAGGATGTGAGTTTACTATTTGTGCCTGACAAATCAGATGACTTGTAATTAATACATAGCAACTTGTTAGAAACTTTTTAGTTTAAAAAAAAAATGCAGTGGGTTTAAAATTCAAGTAGTAAAATCAAAATGTATATCAGATCTTTTGCATAAGATCCTCCATTCTTTTAACAGCAATCTTGAAAAATCCTGGACCGCACCTGTGTAACGTCATTGTTGAATTTCTCCAGTGCCTTTTTGCAGTTGATGAAAGTGTAGCCCGTAGATTTACGTAATTTGAGGAGAAGTGCTTTATCTGCTGCTAAACTCGGGCAGCTGGTGTAGAGAGACTGAACGTGCTGCGTGACACATGCCTATGAACAACACGTTATAAATATGACACATGATTTAATGATGCTACAGAACATTACACAGCCGTATGGAAAGCGTTATACAAATACTGTCATCTGTTATTTAAAACACGCCTCTATATTAATAACAAGCCAAATATTTCATATCAAAGCAGACCGTCATGCAAAGAGCATCATAACTTCTAAGCATCCAGCCAAAAACATTAAAAGCTTAGAGTGCGAATTATGACAAATGAGACAAAGCCCACCTTGAGTACTTCTGTCCTGACAGATCGAAATAAAGAATATAAAGCCATTTCTATATCTTCCTCAGGACTAAAACTAGCTTCCTTACATCAGTAACTGGAATGTCATTGAAGCACGCTTTCTACAGAGAGAGAAAGGTCAAACAGAACAGAATTCAAGAGTCACGTACAGCGCCATCTACTGCACAGGAGTTTACGCTGCAGCTTACTGAAGAACAGAAGGAACAGCGTAATCCATTGTGAAAATGAAAAGAACAATGCCTAACGAAACTAGTATACAAATAATGCATAAATTGTATACAAAAACTGCATAAACCTGCTCAAATAATAATAATAACAATAGTATTTTATTGTTGTTGTTTGGGTATACCAGGGGCCTGTTTCATAAAACAAGTTTACCAAATAAGCCAGGCTTATTTCAGTTAGTCTGACTTATTTTGAACCAAATCAACTGACAATAAGTCAGTCAATGCTTTTTCTTTTATGCCAAAAAATCATTAGGATATTAAGTAAAGTTCATGTTCCATGAAGATATTTAGTAAATTTCCTACTGTAAATATATCAAAACTTAATTTTTGATTAATAATATGCATTGCTAAGAACTTCATTTGGAAAATTTAAAGGCAATTTTCTTAATATTTAGATTTTTTTGCACCCTCAGATTCCAGATTTCAAATAGTTGTATCTCGGCCAAATATTGTCCTATCCTAACAAACTTATTGGAATCCATGGAAAGCTTAGGCCTATGTTCTTTAGGCTTTCATGTGATGTATAAATCTCAACTTCAATAAATGGACCCTTATGACTGGTTTTGTGGTGCAGGGTCACATTTAAAAACAACTTGATTCAAGTTGCTGTACAATATGGGGAAAAACAACTCTACAATTCAAAGTAAGAATGTGTCAGCTCTACACCAACATGGAGATTAAAAAAAAATACTTTGACAAGAGTATAGTGATTGCAGTGTGAATGCTACCACCTGTTCTTTCTGAATGTTTGCGCATTTAATGGACCACTTTCTTGCCAAGAACACATTCTTGGCAAATGGATCAGACCATGAAATTGCCATGAAGCATGATTGTATTAAATTAGTATATTCTATATTCATCTTTTTCACCAGATTTCTGGAGCCAGCTGACTGAAAACGATTTTGGACCAGCTGACTGAAAACGAGGAACAGAGATTCGTTCATTTTATTTTATCTACAAACTTCCCCTTTGTAGTCCTTTCGCCACTCCCAAAATTGCCTTTTTGCTCATAGCAACACAGCAAAACGTTTGAACGGAGTCACCTAGTGCTTTATTATTAAATATTAGTAGTCATTATCACAACAGAATGTGTTGCTGCATGGGAGGAGTTCCTTAAGCTTTATTGATCTGAGATGGTATAAAAACCGAACCGAGTCTTAATCTGTAGTTTCTGCGTCTAGATCGTCTGAAGTACATCATGAAGATCATCCTCATCCTCTTTCTCACCATCACCCAGATCTCTCAGGGCTACAGCGGTAAGTTCATACCTTCAGTTTCCATCTTGATTGTTCGTTCAGTTAAACTGAACATGTTCATGTAGGCTACCTTTTGTTCTTGTACAGCATAGTTATCCTAATGCAAATAGTGTTCCTTCTCTCTCTTTGTCAGATTCCCTGGACCTCTGTAAGTGTGAAATTGTGAAACTGAATTTTACCCTGACTTTTTCCTATTTTATTAATTTTTTTCTCCTAATGATTTATACCCAAATCTCCTTAATCAAATCCTGTGCCTTATGTCTAATTGTTCTTTACTGAGTTCATACTGCTGAGCTCTACTAGTACAAATAATAGGATACTGACATGCCTCTGGGTGGTAGATCTTTTCTTTCACATAAAATGATGCTTTAGCAGTCAGCATGTGAAATATATCTCACCTCCTTCAAGGCTCACTTTCTTGTAAAGGAAGATGTGGAGAGCCCTACAATTCTTCGAACGACTGCCACTGCGATTCACAATGCCAGCAGCATGAGGACTGCTGCGATGACTATAAAAAGCAGTGTGGTCGTCGAGGTTAGCGTCAGCATCTGTGATTCTGTAAAACAAAATAATTATCATAAAAAAGGTACAAAGCTGTCATTGGTGTGGTACCAGTATAAAGGCAAACAGGTACACCTTTGTACCTTTTCTGAGAGTGTATGGCTTAAAAAAAAGTTTAGTAGCTGGTCTGGTCTTGCACGTTAAAGCTGTAAAACTAATTCTGCTGTTTGGACAAGTCAAGCTGGACTGAAGTTTGTAGTTTAACAAATATAGTTTAATACTCTTTGTCTGTGTTCAATTAGACAAAAGGCACAAACTAATAATGAATCAGAGGAATCACATACTCTAATGAATCATTCAAAGTAATTCTAAACAAACACGGGTTTTATTCGTCTCTTACGTACAGTACAATGGTCAAGGTCTGTCAAGTCACGTGGGGCAAATCAGGGTTTTATAACAGGCATAAAAATAGGAGAAAGATTTAGTTCTAGATATTAGGGGGTTATCTGAGATAAGTTACTCATTGACCCTGAGTCCTGTTTATTTTGGATCCCAAAAATGGCATGAAACTCAGCTGTGTCTACTTCTGTAGTTTCACACACTTAATCTCAAAATTCATTAGAAAATGCTAAACACCATATTTCCTATTGCGTAATTGATCAGTTTAGTTATTTGTATGAAGAACACTTAAAATACTATTCAGAGAAAAGGAACTTTCATGTTTTTATTTATTTTCCTAAAACATTATTTCTTTATTGTTATTTTACATTATTTTCAGTCTACAAATGCTACACAGGTATACATCTGATGTAAGTTCAGTTAATTGCTGTTACGGTTGTAGCTGTTAACAGCACAAATCTGCATTACACCCAGGATTGTGTCACACAAACGTATAAAAACAAAAACAATAATAAACTTAAATCTAGTTAGATTTACAGTTATGAACACTGAACATGTTCAGCCTTTTGACTGATCACTAACATTGTTTTCTTGATATGACAACAGATTTCCAATTTTAGAAATTGAATGTTGAAATTTGAATCTATAATTGCAGTAATTGCTTGGTTCATTTAATTGCAGTAATTACTGTTTCAGTTTCTGTTTGTTCTTTCATTTTGCTCAGGATTTGTCAGGTTTTCCTTTCCACTTCCACTTTTTGCACTAACTCTTTCTTTATCCTTTTCCTATCCCAAGTATTAGACAGTGTCTCTGACGCTGAGATCAAGTCTCTGTCTGAGACGCTGTACAAGTTAGATCATAACAGGGCCACAGCCTCAGAGCTGGTTATTGATCCTCAGACACTGATCTCTTCATCTGAGACCGGCTCCAAGGATGACCTCTCATCTCAGCCGTAAGACACCGACTGCACACACAGATAACCACATATACACAGTATATACACATACATGCATGTTATTATGTATTCTAATGCGCTCGTTATCTCTTAAGATTGTTCAAGCAAGTGAGTAGTACTTTGCTCTCCAAGCCCACATATAAAGCTCTGCTGGATCTATTAGACAACTATAGAAGGGTGACAGGAGAAGCGGAAGATGTGCCCTCACAGGAAGTGCAGGAGCAGGACACTTTCCTCCAACAGACCATGAACACTGATGTGGGCAGGGAGCTTTACAATTTCCTCCACTCTAAAGGTATATGTGACCCCAAAACTCTTTTTGTTTCGGACCTTTTGAATTTAAGTGACTTCGATGTGATAAAAATATTGAGATTTTACGTATTTATTAAATAAGATTTAAAAATTCTACATTACCATTCAAAGGTTTGGGGTCAGTATAATTTTGAAAGAAACATTTTATCTAGCAAGGATACAATTTTTTGCTAAAAGGAGACAGTAAAGACATTTATAATGTTAAAGATTTGTTTAAAATAAATTCTCTCAACATTGCTTATAATAAGAACTGTGTCTTGAGGAGCAAATCAGTATATCAGAACAATTTCTGAAAGGTCATGTGACATTGAAGTGACACTTCTAAAAAAACAGCTTTCGTGCCATCACAGGAATAAATTATATTTTAAAATATATTAACCCCTTAAGACCCGAGAAAAGATTTTTAGGGGGAAAAAGTTTTTTTCATGTCTTTACATTGTTTAGAGCATTAAAAAAAAAGTTTAAAAAAAAAAATAATAAAAAATGATATTTCATTCATAAGTTATGCTATGTCCTCGGTAGAGAACAAAAAAGACATGAATGAACATGCATAGGCAAAAACAATAGATTTTTTAAATCACCAATCCATTTTTAGTTTTCAGGATTTATTTACTTTTTGTTAAACTTTGTATAAAGATGATTCTCAACTATGTTATAACAGAATGATTTGATATACCATTTTTCTTTCTGCAAAATGTGTGTAAAATGGCCATAAACGTGTTTTCTCATTATATACAATGTATCTATAAACTAAATCTAATTTGCATATTAATGTGTTTTTGGGGCAACATGTAATGAAAAAAGAAGTATAATAAGGGGAGTAATATTTGACAAGATTTTCATAATAATATATAATATTTCATAGAATATTGAAACAATTTATTTCCCTATTCATTTGTCATGTCTCCCAAAATGCTAATAAACATGCTTTTAGTCCCAGTCCCAGGACATGTATGAAATCAACATCCTGTTTCGTAGCAGAAAGTCATATTTTGATTTGAAACCCCGTAACATTTTCCTGAGATGTTGATTTATGAGACAGTTTAAAAATTAGACAGATTTAAATAATTACAAAATATTATCATATTTCCATAAGAGTGTCACTACATTAATATCAGACATATTTGAAGGCCAAGGAGAGGGAGTGGTCATACTGAAACATCCAAACATTTAGTATCTCTGAAAAGCCCTGAATGTGCTCTGTACAGGACATCCAGACTTAAAACTGTGGCATGTATAGTCTCAGAGAAATACACCAAAGTATAATGTCCTCATATGAGGTCACAGGGTCTCAGGAGGTTAAAATAGAAAAGAGCTTTTGAATTGTAATAACATTCCACAATATTACTGTTTTTACTGTATCTTTGATCAAAGAAATGTATCCATGGTGAGCATAAGATACTTTTTTCAAAAAAATCTTACCAATACCAAACTTCTGAATGGTGGCGTACATTTTTGTTTTATATGTAGTATTAATATTTGACTAATATTCTAAACTGTTTATTAGAAGAAAACAGTTTAATGACTACTATCATTTTGCAATATATTTGAATTTAAAAACCGCTGGTTTTCAGGTGTATACTCATCACAGAGCGAGTTTATCCAGGATCTGAAGATGATGTGGTTTGGTCTTTACTCTCGATCTAGTGGCAAACTGGACTCCAGCGGGTTTGAGCACATCTTTGCAGGTCAGTCTCTGTGTGAGCACACGTGCTTTTTATCCCTCTTTGGCTGACATGTCTTGTGTTAACAGGGGAAATTAAGGGTGGAAAGGTGTCTGGTTTCCACAACTGGCTGCAGTTTTATCTGAATGAGAAACAGGGACTCCTGAATTACTACAGCCATAGTTTTAATGGCCCTGTGAGTACAACTGAGCATGTGAAACAAAACAAACCAGTGCTCGCACAACATGCATTTTAAAAGTCTGGATGTCTACTTGTATTTCACGTTTTGATATAGTAAAAGTCAAGTTTCTCCCCTCTCTCAGTGGACCACATATCCTGATGTATTGGGAATGCAGTTTGAATGGGATGGCTATTTCAAAGAGGTTGGTTCTGCCATTATTGGCTCTAGTCCTGAATTTGATCTGGCTATCTACAGCCTCTGCTACATCACCCGCCCTGGCAAGAAGTAAGTTGTCGGTCTTTGCTGTCTGCCTATGCATATTTATTCCTCCATCCGGCCATTCATCAAATGAAACTCATTTTGTTTATATGAGTAAATCAAATTTATATACTCATCTGTTTGACTGTATTCTTCTCAGGTGTTATGTGAGTCTGGGAGGACAGACTCTGGGCATTCAGACCTATACATGGGACAACAGCAGCTATGGGGATGGAAAGAAGTACATTGCCTCTGCTTACCCTGCCACACCATGATTCCCTGTCATCTGAACATCAGTATCAACAGACTCACAACCAAAACAACTCATAAGCAATCTTCATTTTTCTCTTGGTTGTTCGAGGTTGATGTTGGACCAAATAAAACACAAGAAAATGTATTTGTATTTGTACTAATACATAATATTCTTTCACACTCTCATTAGCTACAACTTTCAAAAGTGTACACATCTATTAGTCTGTTATTAAGCAAACTTGTAGGTCACATTTTTTTCAAATTTTTACATTTGATTTAGAACAATTTCCCAATAATTCGGGATAGAATCACATTCTGTAATTATACAACAAAAAAATAAAAGAACATCAAACTCTTACAAATGGCTTTATTTTCATTAAATACAAAATCCTTCTAGATTTCAAGTGTATGACAGTGATAGACCTGATGTTTGAGGTTATGAATCAGCGTCAGCGGCGCAACGGAAGCCCAGATTAGAGGCAGAACTGTCCGGAGTATTTTGACTACGGGCTGCACACCTGTATCTGTAGCAGTAAGACTACAGAGAGAAAAATGTGTTAACATGCATGTAAACAAGTTGTATAAAAGCTTACAGATGAAGGTTGTATTTTCCTCTTAGGTGCATATATATGTGGTGTATGTATTAGGCATATATAATATGTGCATACTAGCTTTACACTACTGTTCAAAACTTTGGACAAGGTCTCCAAATATAGCCAAAAATAGTCATGACGTGCATTTATTGATAAATAATAATGTAATAAGTAATAATTTTGTGGAAACCATTAAACATTTTTTCAAGATTCCATGATGAATAGAAAGTAAAAAAGAGCAGCATTTATTCCAAATAGAAATCTTTTGTAACATGTCTTTACTGTCAGTTTTGATAATCTGAATCCTTTTTGCTATATAAAAGTATTAACTTTTGACAATGTTAGCTAACATAAAATATCCCCCACCTTAATAAACCTGATGTGCTAATGGCAGTCATACATTAGATGGCTTTGTGCATGTTTTACCTTGTGGCACATGTAGGATCCTCCTTTCTTGACTCTGTCTGTCCCTGTTTCTGGTCCTTTCTATGAAAGGAGTCATAAGGGTAAGGCTTTAACACATGAACAGCCTTATATGCATAAATGAAAGACCTTTAATTTATGGATGTGCGAATCGTTCACTCATAATTATCTTACAGGGTTGTACTTGTCTTCTGTAGTGTGATGCACATTCCACCAGTCTGCTGTCCACTCCCATGCATTTCCCACCATGTCATACAGCCCAAAGCCATTTGCAGGAAATGACATCACCTGCCCAAAGCACCAAGTAATCGGTCAGTGTTCTGTAATTTCTCCTCTCTAAATTTAAAACTCAGTACACATGTAAATCAGGATAAAGGGCTACTTTGTGTTACCGGTGATGTGTTAGCATAGCCGTCCTCTGCTGTGTTGTGGTTAGGGAAATCTCCTTGCCACAGGTTAGCATAGTGCTTCCCTCTGGGCATTAGTTTATTTCCCCATGGGTACAGCCTAACAAGAGCGACAGATAAAGAATAAGTTAAAAACACATTAAAATGGACAAACAATGAACAAAACACAGACACACACACACCTATCCTGCAATCCTCCTCTACAGGCCAACTCCCACTCAGCTTCAATAGGAAGTCTGCGTTTGGCCCAGTGACAGTACGCTTGTGCATCACTCCAAGATACATGCAGCACAGGGTGATTCATCCTAGATAAAAACACAGAGATTGTTTAATATTATGACTTCTAAACAGGTGTATGACTTGAAAACATATCATCTGATTTTCCAGTATTATTGGTGATATATTACAGTCATTCAGTACTTGCTTATGTGGTATTAAATTTTTATGTATTTATTTATTTACCTGTGCTCTATGGTTGAATCTGGTCCTTCTGGGTGTCTCCAGTCTGCACCTTTAACTGGTGACCACCAAGGAGCAGCAGCCACCTACTGACCATAATTATACATTGACAAAGTGAAATGCAGCTTATTTATCAATAAACGCAGGTCATGACTATTTTTGGCTATATTTGGAGATTAATATCTCAAAGTTCTGAGTTCATGCAGGCACAAAGAGACAGGCTCAGAGAAGAATGGAAATGTTTTTTTTCAACATTTAGGTGAATTTATTTGATCAAAATTACTGTAAAAAAATGTAATTTTGTATAATATTATTCAGTGGTCGGCCGACAAGTTTTTCTGTTTGGCCGATGCATTCGAGGCGGGACTTTTATTTTGATGGCGCTGAGAACGACAGTTCTCCCTCTTGTTCGCTGTCGTCATTAAAGGGGTCATATGATGCCATTTAAATTTTTCCTTTCTCTTTGGACTGTTACAAGCTCTTGGTGCATAAAGAAGATCTGTAAAGTTGCAAAGACTAAAGTCTCAAATCTGAAGAGATATTCTTTATAAAATTTAAGTCAACCACTCCTACCTAAAACGGCTCGTTCTAACACGCCCCCACATATCTACATCACGATGTGGGGAGATTTGCATAACGCCACCCAAATGTTCACGAAAAGAAAGAAGGCATAACTTTTATTCTCGCTGTAGTATTGTTGTTGCAGCTGCTGCCATGTCGTGGAGACGCTGTGTGTTTCGTTGTGAAAGCGAAACTACTTTGTTTGGCCTTCCAAAAGAGGACACAACTAGAAATCAGTGGTTAAGCTGTATTTACAACACTGTTCCAGAACAGTACAACCCAAATATTCAGATGTATGCAGCGCATTTTGCGGAGGATGAGGAGTTTCCTGTGAGAGTAGCCTACAATGGCGGTGTCTGTTTCTATAAAGTGGGGCAGTTCCAACTTTGCAAGGACAGTCTGGTGCTTCAGACTCACAGCCTGTAAGTACGTTTTTTTATATTTAAAGAATTTGCCACTGATGATTCAAACGTGAGTTTTGAGCAGTGTAGAGTAGTGCTTGTTCTTTGTCGTTTCGCCAGACATGTGTAAAAAGACAGTAAAAGTCATTATAATCAGTAATTATGTCCCCACTGGAACAGTTTTTTCGGGTTTCATCCGTTGCTGTAATTATCCAGTGCGAGAGTGAAAGCGACCTCTAGAGGCGGAATCACTGATGCCTCCAGGGTTGCCAAGTCTGTGGTTTTCCCCCTAGAATTGGGCAACCAAAAGAAGGTTTTCATTTATAAAGCTCTAAAAATGTAACTGAGTGGCTTTTTAGTGCATTTCCTGCTAATATGTAAAAAATGAAGGGTCTCTGTTAAATATGTGAAGTGTTCCATGGTTAACATGCTTTACTAAACTTTTGTTTTGGAGCTTTGATGCAACCATCATCCTCTCATGGTGCAAACAGGAAGTAAACTGCTCTGGTCATGCAACAACTTGCATTAACAAAGATATGACAAATATTTTTGGTACACATCATCCTTAAGATGTCTAGTATTAATATATGCATTTACCAAGCACCAACCTCCCGCTCTCTCTCGTGAAGCCAACATGGAAGTGACTTAAACTGTAATTCCTCAACTGGCCGCTAGAGGCTGGCTGCAAAAGGGAGTCAATCCCATAGACTCCCCATGTTAAAATGCCCAAATTTAAAGCAGAAATAAACATGTTTACAGCCTGGTTCAAAAAGTGGTTTTGGTCTATATAGCTAATTTGGCCCTTTATGACAACTGTGAGAGAGGTGAATTTTTTTTATAACTCATCCGTTTAAACTATATTAAGCCTTAAAGTTCTGCATAATTAAGGGCGTGGTCACTTGAGTGGCAGGTGGATTACCGCTGCTGTCACCACCGTCGAGCTAGGAGGGCGTGGTTTCAGCAACCAGCTCCCGCTTCTTTGCCCATTTTCGATTATCCGAGAGTGACACGCGGTGATGCGCTGCTGAGATGGCAACGACCCGCTCCGCCCACTTTGAGCTTCAAAAACGCTCTTTAGAAAGCTAGAGGAGCAACAATGATGTACATTATGTGGAAAATAATGTGTTTTTTGAACCTTAAAACGCATAAACACATTGCATTACACCAAATACACAAAATAATGTTCTTTTTAGCAGCATCATATGACCCCTTTAACAGTTCTGTCTAATACGGACAGAAGTCTGTGTAATAATCAGATCAGAATTACACAGTATTTAAACGATTACTTTTATATAATTAGTAATAGAAAGGCAAACATTATAATACTTTCTCGTTTGCCATCAGCATTTATATAATTTAAACAAATCTTTGAATGACTAATGAACATTTAATTTCACAAACCTTGCAAACTTAGTCGAATCCAGTTGTGAGATGTTGTGAAGTGTACATGTGCATCCTGCACGATCGCGTGTGCTCTGCGTGAATGTGGACAAGAGGAGAGTCCTGCTTCACTGGAGACGTGCGATCGACAAACTTTAAACTTGTGATTTTAAATTATGCTGCGCTTTATGCATTTGCCCACTGCCATACTCATGTCATTTCCACTGTGTGCTGTATGTAAAACGAGTGTTACCTTGGCTTTATTTGACAAAATATGATTCCCAATGCACACAAACTTCCCAGAATACTGAGTGCCCTGTTGGTTACAGTGTTTGCTTCCTTTTTAATTACATTTTAAATATTTATTTATTTGTGAAAATACTTTGTCACCTAAAGTATAAGTATGTTTATTTTACACATTTATTTTTTAATCCATTTTAAAATGATTAAATATTAATTAAAATAAATAAAATTATATTGGCTTTATTTCGGCCACCCTGCTTTCCAAGATATTGGCATCGGCTGTCAAAAAAAACAATATCGGTCGGCCACTAATATTATTGCAGTTTAAAGGATTTTTTTATATTTTAATATATTTAAAAATGTAATTTATTCCTGTGATGGCAAAGCTGGATTTTCAACAGCCAGTCTCCAATGTTTTCCAGTCTTGAATGTCACATGATCCTTCAGAAATTATCATCATATGCCGTTTTAGTACTCAAGAAACATTTCTTATAATTAGCAATGTTGAAAACACTTGATATTTTTGTGGAAACTGTGATGCACTACCATTCAAATGTTTGACAAGAAAAAAAAAAATTAATACTTTTATTCAGCATGAATGCCTTAAATTGATCAAAAGGGACAACAAAAACATATATAGTGTTACAGAATATTTCCATTTCAAATAAATGCTGTTCAAACTTTCTATTCATCAAAGAATCCTGAAAAAAACATAGCATGGTTTCCACAAAAATATTAAG